TACCCGGGAAAGACATGGCGTCGCTTGCAGCACTGACTGGCGCGGATAGCATTTGCACTGGCGATGGTTTATTACATTGGGGGTTGGGTTCAAGAGCGGAAACGAAAGAAACTACTAGGTTTTTTCTCATGTCAGACACAGGCACACACACACACACACACATAGGCGCTTGCACGGAAAGAAGGGATCACGCATCATGTCGTTTTCGAGCTCTAGTTCTTGGTCTTTCCACCCCCTCTATTTGTCATGTCACAATTGGGGAGGGAGAGATGGATGGGGATGGACAGGGCACATGGCACACGGCGAGGGGAGGTTGAACAGTTTTTTTGAGGGAGGTTTTTGCTTTACCTTGGTACATGCATCACAGGTCGTTGGTATGGAAACAATATGGATGTCTTTTTGACCGTTGTCTATTTTAACCGCGTACCTTTTTTTTGCCCGTTGAAGTTCAAAAAACTTGGCGCGTGTGTAGGTACGTATCTTCCCTTGCCCATTTCGTATGCTTTGGTGAGGCACAGAAGAGGGAAAACGGCGTTCCGTTGCAGCGCTGCGGCGGCGGCGCGGCGGCAGGAATGGGGGCCAAAGAAGCTTATCGGTTTTGGCGGCCACGGTTGATGCCATCTGATTGGCCCTTCTGCATTGGGAAATCGTTAATAGGGCGGTGCCGCCCTTTATTTTTTGTGTCGGCCCTGTCGATACAAAGGCGGCCTAGGATGGAAGGGAGCAGCAGCGAGAGTAACGTTTGAAGCAACCACCAGCAGTAGATTCTCATTGATGGGCAGCAGGACAGGGCACTCCTCCCTGGCTTAGGTAGCAGCATAGCGTTGGCGGGGCAAGCAACGCCGATAATAGCTACAGCCCATTCCAAATGGATTGCCGGCGTGTGCGGAAGTGAGCGGGAGGCCGTGTGTGTGTGCAGTGCGCAAAGTGCATCGAGCCTGTGTGTGTGTGGGGACTGTGCTTGTTGTCTCGCTCCCTTCGGTCTGTCTCTTTTTCTTCTGGCGGCACTGGTTGCAGAGTTAGTCGCATTAGACGCAAAGGGCATTTCGGCCAGTGAGGACGGTGGGATGCCGATCGGCAAGCGGAGCGAGGTCGGGGCAAGCTGAACTCGGCTGGAGTCGGCACTGGGTCAGCGTCCCGATGGCGTTTTTTTCTCGACGAACAGTGAAAAGGTCGTGGACGTTTAGAGGGCGCCACGAATTACAAGCGCCGCCGCCAATGCAGATGCCGCCATGAGAACATCGTACGATAGTGACATGGGAGGCGTGATGGGGGAGGGGAGGGTTGCCGTCCCCGTCGCAGAACAGAAGCGTAGCAGCCAGCCATTCATTCGTTGGCTCCGTCTCGAACTCCTCTCTCCAAACGAAACCCTCCGCAGGTACAGACGCCAAACCCTAGACGTTCAAGGTCCTTCAACCCTTGCCCCGTACGGAGAATCACTGCAACTTGCGAAATGCTAAGGTAGCTAGCACAGTGCCCGCTGGGATGACAGAAGCTTCGCGCCACAGAAGCGCAACAACCCACTGACAGAGTCCCCACACCTCCCTCCTCCGTTACCTCCATGCCAGGCAGCCGCTGTCACTCCAGATTCGCTAGTGCGAGATGGAAAGCGGTCGTGTCTCACCGCACCCGCTGCTGCTGCCAGCGAGATGGATAGCAAAAGAATTTTGTGATATCTAAGGGAAATTGTGATATCTGAGGAAACACAACACAGGGTTTTTTTCCCTGGTGGTGGTGTGGGTGGCTTCGAGACCTCGTGGCTTCCACGCCAGAGTTCGCGCCCCCATTGAGCAAAAAAAGAAAAATGACAGCAACACCACGGGAAAGGAGCTTGCCGTTTCTTCCCCGCAAGGTTTCCCCTTCTTGCGTTCTGCCCGTCTGTGGCCCGGCGCCGGAGACACCTCCGGAATACCTCTCCTGTCCTGACTTCAACTCTCTTACCTTCCACCGCCCGGCAGGTGCTGCGTTGCAAGGTCAATGCTGTTGGTTCCGCAACGGGCCTGGGTCCTTTGTGACGACCTCCTCCGCCCGACTGCGCCCACCATGCGGTGCGCTGCTGGCCGCCTGTCCGCTCGAGGCACAGGCCTATGTCAACTCCCCGACAAAAGCTTCTCCAGAGTCTCAACCGGCCTGAGCGTCGGGGACCAGACGACGCCCGCCCGTTGGCCTCGTGGCCCGGTCTCGGCTCCTCATGCGGCAGATGCGGGTGCGCCTGTTGGGTTGGTGATGCGGTCTCCTTGGATTGCGACATCGCCACAGCACGAGCTTCCCATCACGTGCGCGCGGAGTGTCTGCCTGTCTGCCTGTCAGTCATTTTGTCTATCTATCTGCCAGTTAGTCAGGGAGGCCCAATATATTTCCTCTGTCGCTCGCTGATGAGCTGCCCAGGCACGCATTGCATGGGCAGCGCAACGCAATTACCGGTGCGAGGCTGCCAGGGCGTGTTTTGCAACGGATACAGTGCCGGCGGACAGGCCGAAAGCAGCTTCAGGGCGCGCGCTGTGGCATCGTGCGGCAGACGGTTGACCCCGCAGGGGAAATCTTCAAACCCTCTGCTGCGATTTGATGGCCCTACACGTGTGCGCTGCGTAGTAGATTGTGCGCTTGCGCTTGCGGGAGGCTGGGGGGGGGGCGCGGGGGGGGGGGG